GATTCTACTACTCAAATTATGCCTAAATATTAAGTTTTGTGAAATTTATAGGGAAATTTAAAAGTTATCAGCCAAGTTATGCCTTTCAGTTTGTGCCAAGAATAATTCACTTGGCGAATTTCGTAATTTAAAGCAACCTATTTTCCTTTCCTGTTTTTCATAGTAGACAAGCGGAAAAAAACCCATCGTTCATACTTTCAAATAATTTTTTAACAAAATGCATAAACAACTTTTGGTGTTATTATCACTCATAACAAATATGCCAAATTTCAAAACATGCCAATATGTAAATTCAAGTATATGTTAAGAAATTTTGAATAAAAAAATGGTGCTACTTTGGTACACGGTTGTATGGATTTTTTGGTTTTTTTTTTTTTTTTTTTTTTTTTTTTTGCCGCCGAGCGATCCGATTTATGGTAAACCCATTGCTGGACAAGTTATTTATGGTAATCTATACTTTGTTGTCATTTTATTTAAAAAAATAAGGTGTTTTATTATGCATAAATTCTGTGTTTTAAATATTATTCATGGCTTCTAAATATTACAAATCAATTTAATTTTGTATTTGTATTTGAAATAAAATTTTATTGTTTATGATATTTTATATAATTTTATGTTGTGGATGATGTAATCAATGTCACCTTGCTTTAAAAATAATTGGTTTTAATATCTAAACATTATTTATGGCTGTTAAATATTAAAATACAATTTAATTTTGCATTTTTTTAAACTGATTTTATTATGTATGATTATTTAAATAATTTTAATTCTTTGCATGATGTAATCATCTCCCTGATTTGTTGCAGAATATTTGTGCATTAATGAACTGTAATCAGTTCCCTGATTGATTACTGAATATTTGTGCATTACCGCGCCATTTTAAAATTTTATTATTCATTTCTTCGAATTCATTAGATTTCATAGCGAATGGATATGTCCTTTTCGAAGATTAATGTTGTTATTGGTAAGTACCAAGACTTATTGGTATCGGAATAAAAAAATTGGCATTTGAGACCTTATTTTGGCCAACCTGGCTTTGTGGATCACAGATGAAGATCCACAACATTCCGAGGACGGCCGTATATGTTATTGTGGTCAAAAGCCGCTGTAACGGTAAACAAAAGTATTAGACATTTCTCCTTTTTTACCGGCAGTAAACTTTTAATTGCTGTCATTTTAGCTCTAGTGTACGAAGTGTACTTATTTACTTATTTTAAAGTAATATTTTAATTCTTTTAAACATTGGTATGATGTTTTTTAATTTGATATTCAATTTAAGTAATATTTTAATCCAGTTAAAAGTTGGTGCAATGTTTTTATTCTATTTCGTATGAAAGTAATAATTTAACCTTACTTTAGTATTTTATACTCGTAGTAAATGTATTTATTTACATTTGCCTGCCATCTTAAACAATGTTTTCAACAAAAATTCATCCATTATTTTTAGCAATATTTATTTTTTTAAAGTTTTGAATTTTTTACTATGCGTAAAATACGTAAAAACAGCGTTTTGCAAGATGGCTGATGATTGTAAAATCCACGCCGACAATTACGCCAAAGTGAATCGCCAAAAATCCATGCAACTGTCTACCAAAGTAGCACAAAAAAAACTCTAATTTCTTGCCAGTATGCTTAGAAATACTTCTGCATTAAGATGATGGTAAAAATTTTATAGGTTATAATTCAAAAATTTTTTTCAAATAATTTATAAAAATTATTTAAAAATACAAATCATAAAAAAATGGTTGAATTTTATTTAGAATGAACGTAAATTTCGAAATGTGAAACGAAAAATCAAATAAATTTAATAAAAAAGAGAGATTAATAAATATATGCAAGATTCAATTAATATGGAGGAGCTAAAATTTTGAGAGCTAATTTTTAAAAAACTACTTGTGCAATTTTTACAGAACTTGGCAGTTTGGGATACTTTGAGTCGTAGAATTAAAATATGGAATAAAAATAGCATATCATTTCAGAAAAAGTCCAATTTTGTGTCAAAATACCTATATTAGAACAATGCTATATATATATCTGATACATATCGTAAGTTGTGCTTTCGAGACATGGAATGCAAGTGGAATTTCGTCAATCAGCCTAGTAGAATGGAAGAAAAAGAACTGTCCCTTTTTTTTTTTTTTTTTTTTTTTTTTTTTTTTGCATTGTACATATATATGCAGCTAATCTTTGGAATATGGTAACAGGTAGTTTGGCGACATTTTGGTAAGGCGATAAAGGTTACTAGCTAGGACTTTAGCATTGTACATGGATAAAGTCAAGAGTGTGCAGTGCTATTTTTGTGCAATTCTGGGATGATTTTTTTAAAGTGAAAATAGGTCGACGTGTACATGGATGATACCATGCATGTGCAATTCGTAAAAACGCGGCAAACTGTAGGCGATTCTGCACTTTCTCCCAATTTCGCACCTAATCTTCATCATGATTAAGCACTTTTGTTCCATAAAAGTTCTAGCAGAAGCGTAATTCGGCTAGCAGATTGTTGGAAAAAAATGTTTGAGTTAAAAAAAAAAAAAAAAAGCCTTTACTTCATAAAAACAAAATGGCGTCCAAAAAAAAAAAAAAAAAAACTAGCAGATTGCTGTAGCAGGATTGGTCGCCAAATTTTCGCCAAAAAATCACCAAGTTACCATAATCCAAAGATTAACCATATATGCATACATACATTTCTGAATCTGGACCCAATAACAGAAAAAGTATCCAAAATTGTTTATGTGTCAACCCACAATGTTGCCAAAAGGTATTTATGTGGCAACTCAGGTGTATACATTGTACATAGCATTTCCCCACATGACTTTCCACTTCTCAGGACATTTTCGCTAGCATAAATGCAAATTATAATCCCTTCTGTAGGAATTTCAGCATTTTAACATAGCAGTGGACAACTTCTCATCGTCTTGGGTAAAATCTTCGACGTAGCTTTTGGCATGCATAGAGCTTAATGTAGCTTGCTTAAAATCATCAAGCACCTCTTTTTTTTTCCTTCTCATTTTAGTATTTTGGTTGCTGAGGGTGAGCATGATGTTGATATTGGACATAGTGCTGAGTTGTTTTCCTAAACTAAAACAAATTGCTGTGTATATTGGGGCCAGAGGACAGCACAGAGAAAAATAAGAGAGAGAGAACGGTTTGCTTCTTGTACATGGAAAAAAAAGAATATAAAAAGTAGGTAATACTAGATATATCATTGAAACAGATATAAAAATATCCAAACAAGTAGTCCTCTCAATTCCATTTGACGATACTGACAGGAATGGGTGACACATGATCATAAAGAGTGTCAAGAAGGTAGCGATCGGCCCAGAACACAAGGATCGTCCAGTTTTTCCTTACAGCCCCTGATGCATCCTTATCAATGACCATTGAAAGGTGACTCTGCGAATAGGAGCTAAGGTCACAGAGGCCATTGCTCATCACCAAGCACGTTTGCAGTGATGCCAAACACATTCAACCTGGGATCTCAGAGACTGAAGTAGAATTGTTTTTAGTAATAAGTTCTGTTTCGAATTTATCCTTTATGATCAGTGAAGCAGAATAGTGGTGGGATATTCACCTGACTGTAAGGTGACTGTAACACCTCCTTGTACGCCACACAGCCTGACAGCCAGGAATTATGGTATGGGATGCTATTTCATTTCATAGCTAGACCCCTTTGTTGGCAGAAAATTTAAAAATACTTTTTAAAATATCAAAAATGGCAGATTAATAAGCTTTTTAAAGTATATGTGTCTGCTAGATGTAAGTTTATCATTTAGTCCTGGATGTTTTTGTTTTCCAAATAATTTTAATTATTTAGGTAAATAAATGTGAATTATGTATTTCTATTGACATTTTCTGTGGTGATTGTTCCAGTATGGGAGGGCAGCACTGAGATTTTCACCCTGAGCCTTGGTGGCTGTGGGCCTGCCACTGTATGTACAGTAGTTATTAAAAGTGTTTCACTTTTTGGTCATTACCTGTATGATAGGTTATTCCTAAACTTTTCAATATTGCTTTTTTATTTTAATTTAGGTTTCACATTCAAGTTGAATAGTTGGATTTCCATGAATTTTATATTTTATCAATATTTGGGCTTCATACATTGTGCTAGCTTTTGATATTTATTTTAGACTCACTGGTTTTTAACCTCTTTGCTGTGACTGAGTAGTGTATTGCGACTGGTGGGGAATGCTCAACTTTAATTTTCCAGTTACATTTTCATGAAAAAAATAATTGTAATAGTAAATTAAAAGTACTTAATAGATAAAAAGTACCTGTAGCACTATTTCAGCAATATTGGTTGAATGCCTGATAGTGTCAGTTTCATTAGATGAAAATATTTAGTTGAATATCTTAAAGTGTCAACAGCATGCTGAGAAAGACTCTGAGCACATGTAGACACAAAATAGCAGTCCAAGTTAAGTCATAAAATTTATTTTAAATCTTTGAAATTTACCCCCCCCCCCCCCCGGAAAAAAAAGGTTGTGAAAGATTTTTGTACAATGAGGGTTTTTGTTTTTTTTTTCCCCCTCTAGTCTTAAGAAATCCTTATATCCTCTTAATACTGTATTAGAGGTCATTACAGATTTTTTAACTGTATATCCTCTAATACAGGACATACTGTTAAGGAAATCTTTGTGTTCTCTAAGGTCTTTGATTAATAATATTGTTTTGTAGTTAATTTAATGGTTTAAATAAACAGTTACTATTGGGGATTAAATTAAATAATCATATTCAAAACTTAAGCCACACTCTCTCAGTAGTAACTATTTATGTAATTGAGGGTTAGTTTTAAAGAGCCAGTTTGCTCAATTAACTATTTAATATACATTAACTACACAACATTATTTTATGATAGTTGAATTATGAAAAAGCATTAAGTCTATATCATCATTATGAAATAATTACATAATTTTATGCAAAACTAAAATTTTCATTATTTATTGCAACTTTTGTCCCATTTTTCATTCTATTTAAAATAAAAAGTTTAATATATTTTCTAGGTGATACTGTTGTACAGGCTGCTGTTTATGGTCCAACAGAAATTAAAGTCAGTAAAGAGTTATGTGATAAAGCAGTAATAGAGGTTAATTTCAAACCTAAAGTTGGTCAGTCAGGTAAATGTTTTTTACTCCTTGTATGAGAAAAATTGTCAACTTAAAATTTTATCAGTTCAGTTTTGTGAAGTATAGTGGAATGTTTTCTTTCTTTTAAAATTATTTATTCACAATAAAATGGTTTCATTCATATGTACACCTCTTACCATTGCTTTTTTTTTTTTTTTTTTTTTTTTGAAAAGGGGGAGATCAATTCCTCCCCCTTTTCCAAAATTTGTAAAATACATTTATTTAGATTATTTTTTAACGTGTTATAAATTAAATATCGAAAAGTATAGAAAATGTTGTGAACTACCAAAACTTAAATAAAAAGTAGTTTATATTCGTAAACAAAATTAATACTTAACAGCTAATTAAAAGATTGACTGCCCCCCCCTGGGTGAGAAACCCTGTATTAAGATAATGCTTAATATTTTTGGTACTCTTCTGTTATCGGAATCAGATTTAGAAATGTATGTGTGTATACAAATACATATAGATATGCATACGTGAAAACATATATCCATTCATACTGTAAGGATCCTAAGTTTTACTAACGTTTATTTTATTTTAAATCTTTACTATCACTTCTTATTTTCTACTTCCGGCCAGAATTAAAAGCGTTAACTTATTTATGCAAAATTTGTCTGGCGAACGCCAAGTACTTAAGTTGTGGCTTTTTGCCAAGCGAGAGAGAGGAAGGAGTTAGTCGAAGCAGGCCGCTTGCCTTAGAAGTTTTACTCGGTTGCTGTTTGCCTTCCAGGCCAGAGGTTTAATCCTCGTGATAATTTTAAACGTATTGTAGTGTTAACAGTTCTCTGTACTACATACGGCTTCCTGTTAATATCCGGCCAATCTTACACGCAGGCCCTTGTTGATTATTCCAAATTTAAGTTAGAGTTTAGTTATATTTTTATATTCTTACGTTCAGACCACAAGTAGTTGGTCTCTGTATTCTGAAGTACGGAAATTATTGTAAAGAGTGAAAAATAAAGGGTTTTGTATACCCTTCCTGTGTATCTTGTCTACTTCCCACAGTTATTGAACATAGCTTTAGTAAGCTCCCTGTTCCGAGTCAGGTCTGTGCATGTTCCCAAAGAAAGTAAGACGGAACATTGAACCTGATAATACATACATACATTTCCAATAACAGAAGAGTACCATATTATTCCCCCCCCCTTAAGTCAAGCTATTTTCCTTTTTTATAATGCCAGATACTTTAGCTGAACCCATTCCCTGCCAGAAGGAAAAATATTGAAAAATCAGCATGAAACTTAATTTGTACCTTATTCTGCAACCAAGTAACACATTTCATCATGTTACATAAAAATCCAAATGTAATTTTGTAAGTTATAAAATGTTCCAAAAATGCAATGCAAGCGCAATCTGTCGTATAGAATCATTTTTAAAAGAAGTGTGTGAAATTTCACATGTTCTGAGGATGTTTAGTTTGTATTTTCTATATATGGTTATTGTTCAATTGACTATAATTCTGTACGCTTTTTCCTGTTATTTTCAACCATATTTAATAATACGCATAGCATTTAAATGTTAGGAAATCACCTTGTCTTCATTCTGTGCTGTAAATTTCTCTTGTTTGGGTTGCTCAAAATAGATATGTGATTTCAAAACTACTATGATAGTCACAATGTGAAATTCAGTTAAAAGCAAAGTGCAAAAGGGCTATCTGCTTAAATAGAGGAATGCCTTCATCAAAGTAATCCTAAGACAAACTAGTTCAAATTCAGTCACAGATGGGGAAAACCATATACAGGCAAGAATTTTACAGAATTTGAAACAGGGCTCATATGATCTGTGCTACATAATCTTATCCATGCATCCTTTAGTGCAGCGGTTCTCAACTTTTGAATAGTGCTTACCATCTAAACAAAAATTGAAAACCTTTAGTACCACCACCACTCTTGAACAAAGCTTAGATCGCATAAATTTATGTGTGAGTGTTAGAGAAAAAACTCAATCAGAATGTTGGAGTTTTAATTTTTGAATTTAATAGTTTAAACACTTTGCTTCTTTGCATACCACTGGTTGAGAACCCCTGCTCTATTGGATATTAAAACAAGAACATTTTGTAACTCTCCACCACCTAGTCTGGAGAGCTGTTTGCACATTTTGCTTCTTGCATTTTGCTTTCAGAGCAGCGTGAAATTGATAAACAGATTTCGGAATGGTTAAAGAAACAAAGGAGCCTTTATCCATTTTTTACAGCAATTCCAATTTTTGTTTGATGGACATTGAAACATTGCTTTCCCTTTGTAGATTCCTTTGGCAGCTCCAGCATCAGAAATTCTATTTGACATAATGGAAAGTTCCAACTTACTTTTATAAAATTGCTCTAACAGTCTGCAAAAAATAATAAGACGGTATCCAATTCAAAGATTAAGGAACAACACAATCTGCAACATTAAATGAAATAGATATTAGATAATTTTAGCTTTAGCTTATACCATCCGTTATACATTAAATGCGTATACGCATATGCACATGCGTAAAGGCATTAACACTCATGCCTCAACATATTAATGCGTTGACGCATGCGCAGAAAGTTTGTAGCTTTGAGGTCTGGATTAATGACTTTTGACTGTATAGTCTCTAATTTGCATTGATTGCATGTTGCAAATATTGATTTGGAAATGGTTTTCTTTTATTTAAGTTAAATTGAGATTAAACTCGACATATAATTGCTATTAAGAGAAAAAAAGCAATGTTTTCAATTTAAATCTGGAATGTGCTTTTTCATGTAATATGATTTGACATATTTAAATTTTAGATAGTGAAGAAAGAGTGATGGAAGCATTTATTAGAAATGCTGTGGAGCCTGTTATATTGACTGCTTTACATCCTCGTACATCTATAAATATCATCATTCAAGAAATACAAGATGCTGGAAATGTAATTATTTTTAGTAATATTTTTGTTGTGTCTTTTTGTAGTTTTGATTTAGGTATCAAATTTAAATTCAGTAATCTTAAAAAATAAAAATAAAAGTAACCTCTTTTATAATTAAGTGTAATAAAATTCTCCAAATTTGTATATATTTTAAAACTGGTAGACATTAGCGAAATAAAGTTCTAATATAAATTTAAATATTGTAACACAATAAAGAATTGTATCAGAAAACAGTATGATGCCTGGATGTATTCAAGACATCAGGTCCAAAATGAAATTAGCAGAAGCATTTTATAGTGTGTGTAATAAGGAGAATCTCTGTATCTATGGGAAATAATAAAAAATAGGAAAAAAATATATATATATTAATTCATAAAGTATTTTCCTATTAACATCGATTTAGATTAAATTTTGCTTAATTAGTGAGCTTTACCTTAAAATTAGGTTAAAATAGCATTCAGATAGTATTAAACCTAATACACTTATATAAGATAAATTTCTAGAATTATTTTTCTAGTTTCCTTCATAGTTCTTCTTGATTTCAATTCACATAACACAATGATCCATGTAGAGTAAAATTCCTGTAGGAGAAGAAAAAAAGAATTTTTTTTACATCTTCAAAACATTTCTGAATGCCAGCTTTCAAATCATTATTAGTGCTGTAATGAGAATAACACAAATGCTGCTTATTTCTTAAACAAATCACTTGAAGCCAAATATGGTGAATGGAAGAAAATCTGAAATTCGTACTGCTGAATAGCAGTCTCAGAAATTTTCACTTTGTGTGCTGAAGCGTTATCATTCAAAAGCAACACTTTTCTTTCGAGTTTTCTAGGTATTTTACCTTCATGGCTAGTTGAACTTTTATCATCAGATTAGCAGAATAAACACTGTTATCATCATAGTATGTGGCATATAATCAGTAAGAAGTGGTCCTCTTCATCCCAAAAAATTGCACCTAAATTTTTCATTTGAGATTTCTGTCTTCTCAACTAGTGGGCTTTTGCAGATCCATTGTGTTTCTATGTCATTATTTAGAAATTGGGTGACAGTGATGAAAAAGTCATGTTTTCGTCTTTTGATATTAACTATCTATAAAAATTTTTATCAGCATTTATCATGGAAAATGGTTCTGTAGAACATTCACTGTTTCTTCATTTCTGGCATCAAAATTCTGGGTACCTATCTAGTACAGACCTTTGACGGCTCGAGCTTTTCATGCAATATTTTCTTCTCGTTGATTCAGGATTGATACCCATTTCTGTGGCATTTTGAAAAACTATCGCTTATATATATTTCTCGATTTCAGTATGTATTTTTTCAGTGGTCACATGCAATCTGGTCTGGAATTTGAGTAACACTCTTTCCTTCCAAACATAGCAGCCCACTTTCTGATGGATTAAGAAGGTGCTGTGTCACCGTAAACTGCTACTAACATTTTTATCTCTAGCGTGCGGAACTGTGTATCGGAAATTCTAAAGATGTACTCATTTAAAAATTATTTTTCAATATTGCTGTTGAACTGAATTTTATGGTTTAAGTGCAAAGAACATATTTAATAAATAAAGGTAACACACGAAACATTAAAAAAAAATGCCCCTTTGGATGTAATTTAAAATCTGAAGCCTTTCAGATTTTTTTTATTATACTACTTTTATTTATGCATTTTTTTATACTCTTCATGAGAAATACATTCATGCTCTTATTTCAATGTTTTTAATGAAACAAACAAGCAAGTCTAGCGGAAAAATAAATTACTATATGGGGTGCTTGCTTTTAAACTGACATTAATTAGAGCTATCTGTAGCTTCAACTATCAGCTGAAAAGCCACCAAATTTGAAAGGAGACTAATGATGAGGAACAAAACATTCTGTGAAAAAAATTAGTTTTGAAAAAAAAAAAAAAAAAAAAAAAAAAAACAAAAAAAAAAAAAAAAAAAAAAAAAAAAAAAAAAAAAAAAAAAAAAAAAAAAAAAAGTTGCCATTAGGGGAAAATGTGATGCTGTTCTAGTCTATACAACTGAAAAATTTGTATGAAACGCAGATAAAATTTGAAAATGTACATGCTCGATTAAGTAAATAACTGTAGCATCAACAATTCAGCCTATAAAAATAATGGAAAATACTAAAGGCATTCCAAATGTTAGCTGGGTTCAACATGCATCTCACTGTTACTGATGTCACGACTGCATCCATGAGACCATTGCTGGTAGTAGCACTGCCCAGGGAATGGTTAACAATTAGATTTAAAGCTTTCCACATTATGGCAAATCTATCAGAAAAGTTCTGCACTTCTACCCATACCATATAAACTATATAGAGGAATTAAAACAATGATAAACGTGCAACATTTGCTCCAACATTACTTGCCAGGATGCAGGTTGATGATACTTTGCTGTGGAGAATCCTTTGAGGAGATGAGGCCCATTTCCACCTAAATGGGACTGTTAACATTTGCAATTCTTGGATTTTCAGCATCTGAAAGAATCTCCCACTGCATTCACCAGAAGTCACTCTTTGGTGTGGCTTCATATCAGATTTCATCATGAGCTTTTTTTTTTTTTTTTTTTTTTTTAAGATAATTACTCTAACATGACCACACACTTGTGCCATTACAAAGGCATCATGATATACTAATTAGTTTTGTCATTCCAACCCTTCAGCAAAGGCAGTTGCAGTATCCGGCAATTTTTATGCAAGCTGGAGCCCCACTATATAGTAGTCTACCAGTGCAGCAGTAGTTGCACCATCATTTTACAGAAGAAAAGTATATATAAATACCTTTTTTTTTTTTTTTTCACTTGCAAGGACGTCTCACTCCTTGGATATAACCCCACATGACTTTTTCCTCTGGAGTTATTTAAAGTTCAAGGTCTATCTTGGTGGGGTCCTGATCTTGATGACCTTAAAGGACAACATATCATGGGTTGTACTGAGCAGTCCTGGTGACATGTTATATTTATCTGCTGAGAATACTGAGTACAGGATGCAAAATGTGATCTATGAGAAGGGTAGTCGGGTAGAGTAGACTTTAAGGTACCCCTTGTATTATGGCGAAGTTGTTGTTTAATTTATCGCCAAGTTGTTGTTTCATTTATGGTAGCCTGAGTAGTTGAATGTTATGGAAACACTATTGTGATGTAATTGGGTGCATGATTCTGGGAAATTTTGAAGCATGGGATGTTTTGTAAGCGTTTTTGTGGTGTGTGTTGGTTTGATTCTTTAGACGGTAGAATGGCCGAATGTAGTAAGATTAATTTGAAGTTTCTGTACGATTTGGAGCGAAAGGGCGAAAGAGCTTTAATTGACTGGTGCGTAAATGAAGGTTTACTTAGTAGTCAAAATGCTAAAAAGATACTAGTAACTAAGAGTACTAGATTATTTCTCCAAATTTCAGACTTTTATTTGAGAGATAAGAAACTATGTTTGATATGTACAAATCATTTGGTTTATCAAGCTTGTTAAAGCATCAAAAAGTAGTGCATACATTAATAATGAAATTCATTATTAGAAGAACAGCACACACAAAATTTTAATTTAGATTAATATCATATGTATTCAACCTACTATGGTAAAATTAAACTAGACAGGTAATAATAGTTTAAGAATGGCAGCATTTATCTATCAGATGGGTAAAAGGTTACATAAACAAGAATCTAGCTCTAACCAGATTTTAAGGAACATATACAATAACATACAACATAATGGAAAAAGCTCTTTTCTGAGATTCCTTACAAACAAGAAAATTGTGCACTGTGGATAAAAACCAGAAAGGAATAAAAAGTAAGCTTTGTAAGTTATATGGTTATCTAGAAATATAGGTTTTCCCCTTCACATGAAATTTGAATGTGATTTATTAATACTAAACGAGAGTCTACGATACTATATAAATTTAAAATGGGTCATGTAACACCTCAGAAATAGAAAATGTCTGAATAATCAAAGCCTTCACTTGTAAGAAGGAAAAGAATAAACACATTAATTTTCTGAGTGCAGAAATTAACATTTTATAGATTTTGTACTTTTCATATTAAATACTATTTATCATTCTTAAACTAATTAGTCAATATGAAGGATTCATTAGGTTATAGAAAAAGAAGAAAGTAGAGACAAAAATAAACTTATTAAAGCATGAGGATTAGCATTCACGAACCTTTTGTAATGACTGACATTCAACAACTTATAGCTGACTAAAATTATATACGTTATATGCCTTGTTTAGTTTATTTCTTAAAATAACTTATCTCCATAGTATTAAAATATACTTTTAAAATAATAATTAAAATTAAGAAACAAAGATCACAGACTTTTGATGCACCAAGCTTTTTAAACCATTTCATATTTTTTCAGACCACTCTCAAACTGTTTCTTCATAAATA